AGGTACAAGACGGGGTTGTTACTTCCAATAGGTAGTATTGAAGTCTTGAGTTGAACACGAGGTTCCTATCTATGCAAAGGAGCGTCCCTTTATATGAAAGCTCCGTCCTAAGAAACCTCTTGCTCGTATGGCTCGCAGCCTCGAGCCCCTCGAGCCGCTCCTCTGGCTCGCAGCCTCGAGCTCCTCGAGCCATCACGTGAACCCTTGTTCCCGTGATGTCCCCCTAGATCGTTCCCATCCACCAACAGCCTGTGGTGGAAGGCAGGATGCCTATTTGTCTGACACGTGTTCCCCTTGGTCCCGTGACCTGGTCCTGTGTGATTAGTCCGATCTGTCTGTCTGTTTCCGCGAGTGCCTCTGCGCTCGGGTGGTTCGTATTACGGGTTGTAACAAATACGTAAGCTTGTATATAAGCTTGTATATAAGCTTATATATAATACTATATAAAATAGGCATAGCTATACAGCCTTTCCATTTTATATAGCATTATATACGGCCTTGCGTATAGCATTATATATAGAAAAACGTAAGGGTAAATGCCCGGAGGAAGCTCTAGGCTCTCTAAGCCAATTAGATCAGCTATGGGTTCGCGGGATGTGGTAGACCTAAACTGACCTGATAGGATTTCAAACTTTCGTCCTGGTACTCGAAAGCGACATTGAAGGGATAAACCTCCCCAAAATCGCCCTTTCCGGCTGCATCCTGGTCTTCCTGGATTGGCAGAGTCTCTTTCTCGTCAAGGATGATGATTTCATTCCTTTTGCTGAACTTTCGTACGTGGAACTGGTACCGAGAGCGCAAGATCTCGTTGCGGATGTTCTTTGCTTGAAGTGCTGTCAGATCATCGCACCTGTCGAGAAACTCTAACTGGTCGTGAGAGAGATAGCCTTTGCTAAGGGACAGGCCGTTTTGACGGAAGCTAGAAATAAGGCCAGGGCATCTGAGGTAGATGAGCAGCGCGTAGATGGTTGCGAAGTCTCCAAGTAGCTCTCTCTCGTCCCAGCGACTCTTGCGATTATCGAAGCCGCCTTGGCGGCCTGCTTGTTTCCGACACTTCCAACAGCTACAGAGGAAGACTTTCCGCGCTCGGGATCCTTCAGTTAGAACATGGATGATATCGCTGCGGGGATAGTAGGCAATTGGCCCCCGAGGAAGGTGTTGTGACCGTGGAGTCTGCTCGTATTTCATGAGAATGTCGCGAGCCTCCTCGCAGACGGGATAGCTATCATCGTCTGGGCCAGGATCCCGGTAAGTCATTGAATTTGGAGCCTTAATAACATCTACATAGACAGAGAAGGCGTCATTGAATTGGGAATTGTGACGATTGACTGTGCGAAGACTCAAATGAATAGCTTGTTCAGCGAAGACATGTTTGGAAAAACAGCCTGCCTTGTGTTTCGCATGAGTATCATGCCCAGGCGGAAGTTTTCCGCTGTGAAAGTCTGAGCGGTCTCTGCCGTAGAGGCTGTAGACGCATGCTGTAGTTAGCGTGCAGGGGACTGCAAGGGTAAATTACGGTACTGGCACACTGGGAGCTGATGAGAGAGGTTTGATTGACTGGAATAGCCTTTGCAGGGTTAGAAAGTCTTTGTTACGCAGCATTTGCGAGATACACTAACCATGCGTCCACAGGCTGTACGACGTATAGAAGACTTCGACGGCTCGTGCACGCTGACACCTCGTGCACGGTCTCCTCTTCCCACACCGCCATCTTCAAAAACCCACAACCTCATCAAATTTCCACCAAATTGCCTAAATAATGGCTGGAATTGAAGCTGCACTCGCAGAGCTTCGTCTCAACCCCAACAGGAAGATCCAGGATGTCGCTACTGAGCATGGTGTTAACAGAAGCACCCTTTCTAAGCGCCACCGGGGAAAGACTACTTCCAAAGAGAATAGCTACAATTCTCAACAGTTGCTCAAGCCAGGGCAGACTCGGGCTCTTATCAAGTATATCAATGACCTCTCAGAGCGTGGGCTTCCTCCAACACAAGCTATGGTGCGCAATATAGCTCAAGAGATTGCTGGCAAAAGGCCCGGTGGAAATTGGGTTTCTCGATGGGTCAAACGCAACGAAAAACACCTCAAATCAGCATACCTCAACCCCATCGACAAAGCAAGGAAAAGGGCT